ATGGTAAGCATGGAGATCACACTGGGACATTTGTTTAGGTTTGGGAAGCATTGCTTAAGTGGGATAGCAAAGGTGTAGTACCTTACACTACTCTGCCTCCCCTCCCCGCCCCACTGCAAAACACACACACACACACACACACACCCCTTTCCTCCCTCCCTAGCTCTGAGAAATTTTCTTCTCAGAATTGTAAGTGGTAGGCTTCAAAAGAAGCTAGGAGAAGAATTAAGTGGCAGTTAGTTACACAATTTCCAAGGAAATTGTGTCATTACTTTTGGAGGTCTTCGAAGTGGATTGCCTTTCTTTTCTGAGATAATATGTTTCCCTCCTAAAGTTGAAAAGTTCTCACCTTTAGACTTGGGATGGGTTCTGGAATATAGAGGGAGTACTATGTAGTGGTTAAAAACATGGGTGCTGATGGGCCTTTCTGTATCCTGACTATGGTGGTCATTAAATGGACCTATACAAATATTAAAATCCATAGAACTGTACATCAAAAGGAAAACAAGTCAGTTTTGCTATTTATTTTAAAAACCCACTTGGCTGCTGGAGCTAGCCTGCCTGGGTTTATTTGAATCATAGCTCCATCGCCTATTAGTTATGTAAACCTGGGCAAGTTACTTGTGCCTCAGTTTCCTCATCTGTAAATGCAGTTAATAATACTTCCTGTATGGGGTTGTTGTAAGGATTCAGTTAATATATGTAAAGTACTTAAAATAGTGCCTGGCTCAATGTATATAGCTACTATTATAAGAATGTAAAGGAATAAGAAGATTATGGACTATCATATGATTATAGCAACTATGAGTAGTATGAAATACAAATATTGTGAGGGCCTTTATGCCAGAAAGGAAGAAACCCTAGGAAAGTGTAAATGCTACTAAGCAAATTTAAGTCTGCTTTGTTGCTATTGTCTAGGGAAAGCAAAAACCAACCAAACAAAAATTTCCTCATTCTCCTAATTCATTTATTCATTTATTGAATGCCCATTTTCCAGGGACTTATTGAGGAGTAAAATATTATCTTGGCAGTATTTCACTTCCCAAATTACCTGATGTCTTCTTTAGCCTGTGTGTGTCTTTTTATCATGGGCTCAGTTTTCTCAGATTTACTGCTGATGGCCAGAGGTTCTGACAGTGTCGGTGTTTAAGTATCGTACCTGTTGTATCTACCAATGAGAATATTAAGACCCAATACATTCTTCCACTAGATTGACTACCAGAGGTAAATTTTGAGAATTATTTGGGAAGTAAAAGGAAGCTTTTGGAAAACAGGAACTTGGGGGTTCAAGCCATGGGTGTTTTAAGGATGATGTAGACATACTTAGAAATATTCAGATCGTGAAACTCTTTTACTAAATGAGGAAATAAGGATACTCTTTGACATGAAGGGAAAAAGTGAGGCATCATTGCTATATGATGTTAAAATATTAAACTTGAACCATTCACCTCCCATTACAGGGCATTAATGGGGCAGACAACATGACAGAGAGACATTAAGAGCAGGCAGAGGTGCTGTCTATTCCTTTACATGTATCTGAAGTCTTGTTTTTAATGTTTAAGCATTACTCTTGAACAGTTGAGAGAAAACAATCCCCCTGGGAGGAGGAAAGCAGCCAAGAGAAAATGGAACAGTCTGAGAAAGAATGGAAATGATTCTATTGCTCCACACGGCAGAGCCAAGTGGGAGGGAAGCCAGAGTAAATGATCAGAGGCTGTCTACGAAACAGCTCGCCTCAGCGCTGGGTGCCTACTCGGTGAAGCAATAACAGCTCTGCCATGGCTGGCAGAGCTGGGCTCCAAATCAGTCATCTGCAGGAAGCTGGTCTTGATTTCCATTTTGCAAGAAGCGTCTGAATGATCAAACACCAAACACACGAGATTGCATCTGTACTCCACTTCTCCTCGGTTGTCATGGGAAGTGAATGTCGCAAGTAACATAAACAAATTTAGACTCTGGAGAACTACACAGTAAAGCCCTAATGATTGGTAGGGCTTGCCATTTACAGTGATTAAAAATATAAAATGTGTTAAACTTAACTTTGTCTCAGTAACTTTGGAAGAAATGCTGCTGTTTTAAAGAGGGAGAAAAAAGAAAAGATTAACTTAAAAATGAAATTTCAAGTTTAATGTCACATAGAAGTCAAAAAGCCCTTTAGTGGCACATATTTTGTCTTTTTAGGTGTCATGACTACGAAAGTAGTGACATATTGAATACCACAAGGCTGCAGAGCCAAGTAAAAGATCTAATATTAACTTTTTTTCTAGCTACTCAAAACAACCTCTGTTCTGTGGAAGTGAGGGGGCTGTCCTGACACTTTGTCTTTAATTTCTCTTCTTTACTAATTCCTGCATGCTGCCATAGTGTAAACGATTACGGATTCAAATGAAGTCTTTATACTCAGATTAATGGATTAAGAAGATCAGTATACTGACTAAAGCTCACAAACCAACACGATTTAACAGAACTTTCTTAAAGCAAAATCCACTACGGAACAGTTGAACAGGCAGCAGTGATCCTGGGCTGCATTAGGTTGGCACAATATGAAGTAAATTAATATCAGAACCTAGCAGGAGCCCTTGACTGTCCAGGCATGGAGTGTCTTTTTTTGGTGTGAGGTATTAGAATCACCCTTTCTTGGCTTTCCAGCTTTTTTACTGAGAATCAAAGGTTAGGACTGAGAAAAATCTACTGCTATTTCCTCATTCTAAAGGTGAGAAAATGAAGACCTGAAGAGATGAACTAATAAAACTAGGTATATTGCACTGTTTGAAACTCCTAGTAAGGTTACTTTGGTACATTTTTAGATATGCCTGTTAAGCTTTATAAAAAACATTGAATTTTAGAGGTAAGAAATGAGAATATAAGTTATGAATATTAAAAATGGAATCTTTGATAGTCAAGAGGCCTAAAAGCCTAGAGAGAAGCTAAGGAGGGAGAAGTGTTCTGCTTTCTAAAATATTCAGAAGTTAGGGTAATGACAGCATCAGTTTTTAGGTTATTTCTCTACAAATGCCAAATTTTCTTCATTCTATCTAAAGACTCATATCTAAGCCTCAAACCGAATAGTAGATAGAAATATAATGGCCACAATTTTAACTTGTAAAATTAATGATTTCATTCCGTATAAAGTGAAAAAAACAACTAGAAATCAGCTACCAATTGCAGCTTGGGAACCTACTGCCCTCTAGAGGGTGGGTTTGAAATCGTCAGGGGTACTTTAGGTTGTCACAATGACTGATGGGGTTGTGGAATTTGCTACTGGCATTTAATATCTGGAAAGGAGGGATATCTGACATACTTAAATGCAGTTTTACACATAAAGAACTCCCTTTCCCAAGATGCCAATGGTACTCACTTTGAAACATGAAAGTGAGATCTACAAAGTTTTTACAAGTTGCATCTTAAAATACTAACTTTAAGACTTAGTGAGAAGGGAGCTAGAGGGTACACATTGATATAGAACCTAAGTTTATTAAGAAGTTTATGTTAAACCTGCTACACGAAGTTCATGGATCTATTTCAGGACAGCTTATCTCACTAGCATTTATCTCAGCCTTGGGATCTGGGACTTGACTTGACAATTGTCTAGGAGTAACAAAAGGGAAAAACTTCTGATTGGTTATTCAGTGTATACAAATGTTAATAAAATGGTCAAATGCTCTGATAGTTGCAGAATAGACTGGATGCTAGAAAAATATAATTTCAATCCTCTTTTACCTAAGATTTTCAGATACTTTCAAAACATGTAAACTTCTACTCGTTCTCCAGTGTCCGTTCTCCCCTAATTTTCCCTTAATTCCCTTAAGTCAGGGATCCCAAACCCCAGGGCCACAAATGAGTACTGGTCCGTGAAACTAGCAGCACCCAATGCAGGAAGTGAGCAGCTGGCGAGTTCATCTGTATCTGCAGCCACTTCCCAGCACTAGCATCACCGCCTCAGCTCACCTCAGATCATCAGGTATTAGATTCTCATAGGAGCACAAACCCTATTGTAAGTGGCACATGTGAAGGATCTAGGTTGTGCGCTCCTTGTGAGAATCTAATACCTGGGGATCTGAAGTGGAGCTGAGGCGGTGATGCTAGTGCTGGGGAGCGGCTGCAAATACAGATTAACATTAGCAGGGACGTTTGCCTGCACAGAGACCATAAAAAATCAGTTGCTTACAGACTCATATCAAAACCTTATCAGTGAGTGGCAAAAGACAGTTAAGCTGCATCCGGTGGCAGGCTTTAGAGTGGCAAATGAGTTATGTACTTTAATTGTACAGTTGCATCTGGTGGCATCTGATTCTGCATTGTGGTGAATTGTAAAATTCTTTCATTATATATTACAACATAATAATAGAAATGAAGTGCACAATAAATGTAATACACTTGAATCATCCCCAAAACATCCCTGCCACCCCCAGTTCATGGTAAAATTGTCTTCCACGAAACCAGTCCCTGGTGTCAAAAAGGTTGGGGACTACTGCCTTAAGTAAAATATGAAATGGTCCCCCTTCTCTCCACATCTCCCAGCTTCCTTGTGGGTAGATACAGTTATGTGACTGTTGACCAATGGACTGTGAAATGGTGTATGCAACTTCCAGCCCCCGCCCCAGTTGAAACAGGGAAGCTGCTTGTTCTTCATCTCCTCTCTTCCCCCTCATTGAGAAAGGATGACCACTTGAGCAAATGCCTTAGACCTAGAGCTGGAAGCCATGGCATGTTCTACCAGTTGGATCCTTGGATGACTACGTGGCGCAGAGCTGCCTACTCGCTTCTATCTTATTTAAGCCATGTATTGTGGAGAAATTGATTTTCTGCCACTTTTTCAAATGCCAACCACTAACTCCAAATAAGAAATGACATCTAGTCTCAATAAAAATAGTAGCGAGAGAAACTTGAACATAGCAGAACTCCTTTTTAGGTATTTCTGGGTCAGAGATACTACATATACACACCCTACAAAAAAATAACTTGTATTTACAAATTCATTATATTACAAATAGGCACAGTTCCGAGTAGTAAAAAAGGTAGGAGCAGGGGAGCTTTATTATAGCTATATTTAATACAATTCAATGTATGTAGTTATGTTTAATATGTTCATATATTTATCTATTTTTTCTTCTTCCGCAGATTGTACACAAGGGAAGGAAGCTTCTTGGTTTTATAGGCCACACTTCTCTTGATGCGCTCTCCTTTGATGTTAACGATATGTGGCAAGAGAGGGGGCCGGACTGTCAGCACTGTTCCTTGTGGTGTATAGCCTCGGAGATGCAGTCTGTCCTTAAACTGAGGTGTTACTGCAACCCAACCTATGCAGGCATGTGACAGAACACAAGAAGGTGTTAACAACTACCTTATTAAAAACACCAAACCAAAGCTTAAAATGGAGCGCCAAAGGAGGCAACTGTTCTTTTTCACTCTATTTCTTTTTAAAAAGCAAACAATGCCTTTGTGAAATGGTACAAATTTATTTTCTGAGTAAGTTGCATTTTATGAATAAACGAGTATGTATTCCTTAAAATACTCAGTTTATGTCAGTTAAGGTACATTTCTACAAAAATATACTTTGAGTCAGGAAGGCTACTTTATTCACCTTTTAAAAAGTGTTTGGTGTAAAATTACCTGCAGAAGAAAACTTGATGTCAGCCACTGCTTCAGATTCCCCAAGTCCTTCTTTTAATGTAATGTCTTCAGCAACAAGAGGAGGAAATCCTGCCATTCGTTCCTTTCCACCCATTGGAACCTTCCATTGAGATAAAATGAAGATGTTTAGAAGTTCAAATTAAATTCTCTGTAGCTCCAATATTAAGTAAAACACTGATAAGATAATTCTGTACAGGGATCAAGAATAAAATCTAATAAATTCTAAACATTACCTGTTGATAAAACCCCAAATCAATTCTAGTCAAATGAAAAGCACAGAAGTTTTGTGACGAGATGAAGCCCACAGCTCCCAGTGCCAAGGGCGACATGTGGGTGGTAACCTTCTGAGAGCAGAATCTTGCTTTATTAGTTTACACTGTTTTTATGACCCTCCATAAACCTTTACACAGAGTAATGTTGGGCAATTAAGGCAATTAAGATCCAAATACTTTAGATCTTGTAGGCATGGCTGGCCACAAAGATTAATTCCCACCTCATTACAAGTCAAGGGTACAGGCATAATGATTAAGATTCAGCTTCTATTTATATATGTTTCCATGAATTGGAAGTAACTAGATAATAATTTATTCATTAATAGATCTCTGGGTTTAGCACTAGGGACACAAAGACATGTTATAATATGGTCCCTGCCCCTAAGGAGATCAGAAGATGGAAATAACATGTAAACACATGACGAGGTAAGAAATGTGATGAGAGGCATATATTAAGTACTATGGTTGTGAAAGAAGAAGTAATGAATGTGTTTTGGTCAAGGAGAACATTAATGAAGCAGCAATATCTGAGCAGTACTTTGAGAAACAGATCAAAGTTACCCAGTGGAAAGGTATTCTGGTTTAGCATGATGTACAGACACAAAAACTGGAAAAAGGATGACGAGTTCAGGAACTGCAGTTTAACTGTCCAGAGTATGTTATGTGTGTGTGTATTAGCGATAAGGCTGTCAGTTCAGATTTCTCTCAGTAATGTGGAACTACCGAGGGGTTACAGAGGAAAGAAGACAGAGATAACAATAAAAAATAATACTGTGACCTGCTTTGCATTTTGGAAGGATCTCTCAGTGCAGGGGTTTGGACTGAGTAATTCTTTTTCAGGGGGAGTGGAGAGGCTGTTCTGTGCAGTGTTGGATTTTTAAGAGCACCCGTAGCCTCTACTTGGCATCTACCAAATCATAAAAACCAAAAATGTCTCCAAGCATTGCCAAATGTCCTCTGGGGTAAAAGTCAATGGTGGCTAAGAACCACTGCTCTAGCAGCCGTGGAGATAAATTTGGGGTGGGGGTAGGAGGAGAGCAGTAAAAACTGAGAAAAATACTCAAATATCTCAAAACAGCCTAATGAAAGCAGATGACAGCTTGAACTATATACAAGGCTGGATTCAGAGATATTTAGGAGGCAGGACTGACTGATTTGGGAGGCGAGAAAGAAAACAAGGAGGCAAGAATGAGTTTCAGAGCAGGCAGCTCAAGAAACTATTTGTGTCACAATGGGAAGACTGGGATTGTTGCTTTAGAAAGTATCCGTGATGCCAGGGGCTAGAGTGACACAGAGTTCATTTTTATAACAGCCAGATCACACAAACTAAGGAATTGTTCTTTCCTGCAAATCTTAAGCTGTATTTCAACTTGTGTATTATTAACTAAAATGTAAACAAACGTAATAGAAGTAAAGCCTTCTGGTGCAGAAAAAGCAACAGATCTTATAATGTCGGTTGCCTTTGTGTGCTCACCCACTAGCCAAATCCTACAAGTGTCTGGAATATTAATTTTAGGACAGTTATTTCAATGGAGTTTTAATTTCAGTCTGGCTTTCTGAGGAAATCCAGAGGGAAGTATTTACATCTAAGCCAGGTTTGTTTTTATCCTCTTTGAAAAGTGGATTTATATTTTGTGTTTTGACTTATTTTTAGTTGCATGAGCATGAATTAATGTTAAATTACCTCTGCATTAGATACACCTGGTATTTTTGCAAGAGGTATGTTCCACCACCACCACGGCCACCACCATCACAGACATTTATGAAGCACTTAGAAGAGTGCCCTGGAACTTAATCCTCTTCAGACTTGTGATATAGATTCAACACAGAGAGGTAAAGGCAACTTGCCTAAAGTCACACAGCTTTGTTAAGTGGTGGAGTGGAGCAGGCATTTGATTCTAGTCTGGCTGCAATGATCTTGACCATTATGCGATACTCACTAGTCAACAGTATGTGCATTATGTTTTGTAAAAGAGCTGAAAACACGCTCCATTTGGTCTTTGGTGAATTTAGTAGGAATAATTTCAGTGGCACAGTAAGGGCCAAATAGGACTGTGGAGAATGAAACGTGAGGAGCAGGAGCGAGCTCGATTGTAAAGAGAAGGAATGAATAGGCACTGTGTTTTGTTTTTTAAAGATGAGAGAAAATTCAACATATTTACAGGTGAAAGAAAAGAGCTAGTAGAGCAAGAGAGAAGAGGTGGGATAATCTGTAAGTGTCTGGGATTAAGAAGCTAGGAGGAGAGTTTTTCCACTCAGACCAGGGCTTCTCAACCTTGGCCCTATTGACATTTTGGACCAGATAATTTTTTGCTGTGAGGGGCTGTCCTGTGCACTGCAGAATGTTTAGCATCATTGTTGGTTGTCTCCACCCACTAGATGCTAGTCATCCTCTAATTGTGAGAAAACCTATAATTTCTCTTCACTCAGCAATATCCAATACAACTTTCTGCAATGATGTGACTGCTAAGCACTTCAAAAGTGGCTGATGGAACTGAAGAACTAAAACCAAAATCCCTTTTATTATAGGGCCCACTTCGCTTTATAGAGAAATCCTCAGGGAGAACGAGGTGAAGGAAGAGCTAGCTAATGGCATAACAAAGATGGTTCTGTCCAACAAAGGCTTTCTTAGCAGGGCTGTGGGACTATCACAGTGTATGTTAACCTAACCATGCCATCATCAAAGCGTGCCAACTCACCTTGAGTAATGTATGACCTGCATGCTTCTGATACACAGTATCTGCCTTGTCCAAGGAAGTAATGTGCACAGGAAGGAAGTTGGAAGCCACAACTGTAAACCAAGCTGATTGATTTCCCTTAAGAAAGAAAGAAGTTATTTAACACAATGAAAAACCTGCAAAACCAGCACATTACAAGGCACAATTAAAAAGCAATCAAGCTCCCTTTAGAAGTACTGGTATGGCAGGTATAATCAAACTATATTAATGCCTACATGTAAGGGCACAATATAGCAGAGGCAGAAGCAGTGCATGTCAACAATTTATGTAAAACTAAGATTCCTTCCATAGGCTTGTTGATACCATTAAAAAAAATAATTAAAAACAAAAGGAAATACTGTCTGCATTAACTGTCTCCGTATAAAGTTAGGTTTAAAAGATTCATTTTGTGGGCTTTCAAGAAATATGTAAGAGTTTTAAGTATATAAGGCTAAATTTCCAAGAAATTATGAACAAACACGAAACCCAAGAAATGTACCCAAGCAATGGCCTGCAAGTGTTGCATTCGGTGTTATGGCAGATCCATGTTTCATTTTACTTTTTTCTCTTCGTTTTGGCAAAACGGAGCAATTCTACAGATATTCTAAAATCCCCAGAATACTATGTAAATAAATATCAAACAAAAAAGCACATATATAAAGTATACTTATATGGGATATAAAGAAGTGTGGAATTTATTTAATGCATATTAACCTTGTACCTAAAGTCTGATGTATGCTTTCACATGAAACAATACCATAAGATAGGGGCAGTATCTTTTCTTAAAGCCAACCTGTATGGGATGCTCAACATCCTATTGAAGATATAGTTTTTAAGACCTACTACTGTTTTTTTTTATTTTTCCCAAGTTTTTATTATGGGCATTTTCAAACATAAAAGAAAAAAAAAAAAGAACAGTATATCAGCCCCCAATATAGTCATGACAAAGTTATCAACATTTTGTGAATCTTATTCGTATATCTTCTTCCTTAAAATAAATGCCAAAACTAATTTGTTTTATAATGGCACAGACTTTCCTTACCTGCAGAAAATCTATGCGGCCTATGGCACCCAAAAATAGAACCATTCCTGGTTTAAGCACAAAAGTTCTTGGAACAATGGAATGTGTTGGCAGAACAATATTGACTTCTTTTTCTGATAGAAGATTTAAAACCTGTGAAGCAAAGGGCAGATTTTAGAGAATTAACTTTTATTGAAGATATGATATATTGTGATTTACATATAAAAGTGATGAGAAAAAATATTCCAGATTTCAAAATAAACCAAGGTATGTCAGAATTTGCTGCACATAAAACTTATTCATTCTTTCTGTCTGTATGAATCAATTTACGGATGGCTCTACTCTTGCTTCACAACTTAATCTTGAGTAATGGCAAAATAAATTTATAGGAGTGTGGGACTTTCTTATGTCAGCAGCATCCCCTGAATGTCAAAATTAGTATGATAGAAAATATGTGCTCACCATCAAGGCTTCTAGTGAGCAGCAATTTTCGGCTAACAGTAAGGCAATAAGTTACTTTATGACCTAGCGGAAAGTATACATGCATTAAATGCAAAATGGTCACCACATTCTAGGAGCAGGTGAAGAGTGTGAATAACCCCTTTCTAAATTCTGGTCTTCGGTTTCCTTATTTCCTCCAAATACTCAGCAAAGAATGAGATTAAGTTATGAATCCTCTGGCTTTTAAGGGTGAAGAGTTCCTAAATAGACTAGAGAAAATAGAAAAAGAAAGCCAGGAAGTACAAGATTCTGGTAAGAGTTAAGAAATCAAAATCTGATTAAAAAAAAAAAGAGAAAGTAAAAAAATGGAAAAAATTTTTTATGAACTTGATTCTTAAGGAAATTATTATACCTAGAGAGGCTCAAAAGAAAATACATAAGGGGGCTGCAAGTGGCTTTCCTTAGCATTTGTGTTTTAAAAAAGCACATCAAAAGCCATCTGCAGTGAAGAAACTCTTTTAACCCTTTTAGCAGACCTTAATACTTTAATTTCACCACAGAGTTCCTTGATTCATTTTGGGAAACATTGGTTTAAGGCATCAGATAAATATATCAATAAACTGACACAGAAGCAAATTAAAGATCCTTTATATCTAAAAACTTGAGAGTTTGATTCTGCTGGTCTGAAGAATATTTAACAAACTCTTGCCTTTTTAACTATTTGACAAAAGAGAGTCTACATGACTAAACTAACTGCTATTCCTGACCTGAGTCTAAAAGGGCAAAATGAGTTGAAGTTAAAGTGACAGAACATTATTAGAAAGCAGTCCAGTTATGGATTGCTAAGGAAGAAAAGACTGGACATAAGCAATTATTATATGAGGTAAATGTATGATTTTATGACAAAGGTCACCAAATAGAATACAATTCTGAGAATGAAAGTGTTGAGTGATCCTGATGAGGCAAAGGAAGGAAAAGTACCTAAGAAACCAATGTTATTTCACAGGGGGACAGATAATTAAGCGAATTAGAAACTGGTCAGTAACCAGATTCAAAGGAAGCTGATTAATTGATTTGTGGTAAGGCTGTTACTTGAATGCACACTTGTGTCAATCAATGACTTAGATGATGATCAAAATGCAAATGAATAAAAAGTTGTGAGATTTAATGAGTATGTAGCCTATAGGCTGATTTAAACAAGATAAAATCAGTCATCAGGAGACCTTGCAATTGGATTAAAAATGTACAAGACAGAGTTAATCCTATTCTAAATTATGCTCATCTGAGGGTAGTCATACAAAAAATTTAGTTCAAAGTGTCACACTTTAAATACAAAAAAAAAAAAAAAAATTAGAAAACATTCTGAAAAGGGGCCTGGGTTGATGAATAGCTTCCCAGAAAGAATATATGTAGGAAATAAGGACACATAATCTGGATTATGTAAGCACAGTAAATGCTTGATGTTTGTTGGATGAACTAATGAAAGACAAAAAATGGTAGAATGAGGAAGAGATAGAATGTTATAGTTCAAAGTCTGGCAAGGGAAATAGGCATTATATTCATTACATACAGCTTTGAGGAACAATGGGTACAAATTACAGATTATTCAGCTCCACACAAAGAGCAGGACAGAGACCAAACAGGTTATCTTGGGAGGTAAGGTGACACTGCTTCAGCTGATAGTGTCATTCCTTACTTTGGTTCAAGCTGGATGACCTTTTGGTTGATATGTTATAGAAGGAATTCAAACATGGAATAGGTGGCTGGACTAAAGTGATATTTATGATTTCTTCCAACCTCAAAATATGAATCTGTAAATGTCTTCCTAACTAAGGTAACAACCACAATAATACAAGTAGGGTGTAAGCAGTGAAGCCTACTAAATCAAATACAGAACTTGATGGCATTGAGTCACCTCTAAACTGCTTCTATGAATGAATCAGAACTGAATCTATAATGAAAGCATACTACTTTCCTGTGTTCTGCCAATTAAGACTACTCATGCAACTGAAAGTTAATGTTTCTAAAAAACATCAAATACATACACAATTTTCTTTTGTAATTCCAGGGGTATCATAAAACCAGTGGGCATCTTTCACATCTTGTGGGGTCAGTTCTACTCGTTTGGTGGGTTTATCTGCAACCACAACAGGTTCATTTTCCATGTCAAAGGCAAGTGAATCAGCATCAAACTCAAAGCCAGCTTCATCCTTTTGTTTTTCCGAATACGAGAATGTTCTTCCAACTCTTCCTAGAACAAGTTATATCGAAGTTATTAATCGCTCCTTTAAGGCCTTTGACTCCAGACAGATAACACGTTTGCCTCAAACAAGTTACTAAGACTAATTATGGGGCATGGAAGTGAGACTTAATTCATAGCTTTGCATTTTTCTCAAAGGCAGTGGGTGTCAGATTCTTGAAACAATCAAGTATGTGGTTGGCTGTGTACAGGCAGGGGATGGGTGGAAATCAAACTTGTTGTAAATGAAGGTGGAATAGAGATACCAAGGAAAGGGGGACTATTTAATTTAAAGCCAATGCATAGAGTCCACAACCTGTCCTCGTCTGCAAGGAAGCGGGTAGTATCTTAGTAGAAGTGCTTTACTGCTGATAATGGCTAGGTGGGCAATTACTACATTGATTCCTTTCCTGGTTTTCTCCAAGTATCTACTGTCTCAATTTTCTCAGCACAATGATCTCTGTGTTTCCAAACAGGGGCCTTGCCTCTAAATGGCCTCTATGTTCCGGAATGAGGAAAGTGGTCTCTCCCCACAAAAACTGGCTAGCCCCAGACAGCTATATTTCAGGTTGCTCAACAAAGAATTTTAGCATAGACCCAACAAGTTTTCCTATAGAAGATGCTTACCTACCACATAACCGTGCTTTTTCAAGAGACTAAGTTGATTTTGTTCTAGCTGACTAAGATCTTCTTCAGCTTCGTTTGCATCTTTTTTAAGCCTTTTTTGCCTTTCAAACATTCTGTAAGGAGTTGGGTTGCAAATAGGAAACTTCAGAAGGTTTAATGTAGTACCTGAAATACCAAAGAATGAACATATTTTTATAAACATTGCACAAAGATAGGAGGAAAACTAACATTTTCAGCGAGTTACACTGTCTTGGGTACTGTGATTTATTTCACTTAAACCTTCATGACAACCTCCTACAAAATTTTTACTTTACAGGTGAGGAAACAGGTTCAGAAATTGGCTCATAGGATATCACATATGTGGGATATAAACCTAAAAGCAACAAATGAATAGGACAAACAGAGACTCATGGACATGGACAATGGACTAGTGGTTACCAGAAGGGAGGGGGAAAATAAAAAAATAAAATGTTAAAGGAAAAAAAAAACTGGCTTAAAAAAAAAAAAAGAAATTGGCTCATAGGCTCAATCAGGTGAATCTCAAATCTGCGGGCCTGATTTCTTTCCATTTTCACTGTACTACCATCCAATATAAAAGTACTTCGTGTATAATTCAACTAAAGCCCAGGACACACAAGAACAATTTACCAGGTAAAGTTAAACACTGGTTTCAAAGGAACAAATGAGACAATTACTTTTGCCAACTGTTAAATACAAACAGGGTCATAGAAGGATCCATTTTGCAATTACATAAATTTCTTACAGCCACAAATTGACATGTCTTTTCCGGAAAGCTACATACCATACTGCAATAATGAATTAGTCAAATATTAAATGTGTACAGTATACAGATCTCATGAGTAAACTGAGATATGAAGAATAAGACTGAGGGGTGGAAGTGGGTTTAGAAAGTCAAAGGACTTTCCGGGGAAACATACAAAGTAAAGCTACAAGGGAAATCTCCAAAAGAGCAGGAACTTTGTTCTTTGGTTTATCTCTAGTGCCTAGAACAGTGACTGGAATATAAAATGCTCCATAAATATTTCTATCAGAAAATTAACACAGACTAAATTTCCAAGAACTGAGCTGACACAGAAGAGAGGCGTGACCAAATTATGGAGAAAAATTTTAAAGGGAAGGCTCCAGACAGTCTCTGATGGACATTAAGCTCAGAAAACTAAGGGGACAGGCCTCCTAAGGCTCACCAGGCCACGGGGAGATGGTGGCTCTGTCGATAGCTTCAGCGCCCTTGGCGATGCAGTAATCCGACTCCAGGAGCGTGTTGAAGAGAGTAGACTTGCCAGCATTGGTGGCGCCAACCAGGTAGACGTCGCCGCGGTAGCGCCAGGAGCGCTGAAGCGCGGAGATCAACTCTTCCACTCCATAGCCAGTCTTGGCGCTGATGAGCCGAACATCCCTCAGCATCGTACGGGACCTGGCTGAAGGATTCGAATTCTCCTCCCTGTCCAGTGGCCTGTCCCCGGCGGAGTGCTGTGGCCCTCTGGGCCCAAGGGGCCGCAGGAGTCCGGCGCGGACACAGTCATCCCAAAGCCGCTCCCGGAGCCGCTGCAGGTAGCCGGGTGCGTCCTGGGGCAGCAGGTCCACCTTGTTCCCCAGCACGATCAGCTGCTTGGGGCCTACCAATGCGGGCAGGTCGGGCAGCAGTGCGTCGGGCAGATCGAGCAGGTCCACCATGTAGAGAACTAGGGACGGCCCGGGCCGCCGCAGCGCGGCGCTCACCAACTCCAGGTACTGCTCGCGGCTCACCTGCAGGCGCAGGGCGCGCCGGTGGTGTACCAGCAGCCAGCAGCGCTGGCACACGGTCCGCGCCAGCCCCGCGTCGGTCTGCGCCGCCGCGCTAAGGAACTTCTCGCTGGGCAGGTAGCCGGGAACACCAGGGTCCTGGCAGTGCAGCTCCGCCCCGCAGCCGGAGCAGTTCAGGCCGCTGGGTGGCACCGTCGGGTCCGGGTGCCCCACGACCGGGTGCACTCGGCGGCTGGCCCGTACCTTCTGCTGCCGCCGCTCCTCCCGCTGTTGTTGCTTCCGTCGCTCGTCCTCCTCTTGCTGCTGCTGCAGCTCCTGTAGCTGTTCTTCGAGGGTCGGTGCGGGTTCCGGCTCCGGGACGTACTCGGGGAACAGAAAACGCTCCTCCATGTCATCCCTTTGCTCATAACCTCCAGTTACCGTCGGGCTACGAAGAAACCCACGTCCCAGGCCAGAAGGGTGCTGGGAGGAGGAGGCGGCCGCGCATCTCCTTTCAAGAAGCAGCTCCCGAAGGCCATGATGCGCTACAGTGGGAGTGGATCCTCGCAGTAAAGGGCACAAAAGTCTACGAGTCAGACGTGCGGGAAGCATGGGGAACGCGGCCCTGGACAAAAGGGCGGAGCCACGTGCGCGCACGCGCACTGGGGCCCAAGGCGTGCGTTAAACTGGAGACAAAAGCCCGGCATAACTTGAAAGCTGTCATTTGTCAGCCGTCACATTTCGGCTCCTCCTCCTGCGTGTAATCCCATAAATTCTCGCGATGAAGACTCTGAGGCTTGCAAGCCCGCTTAAAGCTGCAGTAAAGGTATTGGGGGCTTAGACTATGCTGGGTTGCTGAAGAGGCTGGGTTTTGTCACTTTCAGACTTCTTCGATGCGCCACCGCTGGCACAACCCGCCCTTAATACATCACGTTTGAAAAAGCATTGTTTTTTAGCTTTAAAAGTGCAAAAAATAGAGCATCGGTTGTCGTGGATTCACCACCACAATGAAAATTTATTAATAAGTCTTGGCCTTTTTTTCAGGTGTCATTATTTGAGCGACAACATTGAAAAACGAACAAAACCTTTCATTAGCTGGACACGATCCTCAGCCTGTAGTAGCGGTCCCCGCAATCAGTTAGAGGTTGGGGATAGGAGGTACAGGGAGCGTCAGCCTACAATTTGCGCGTACGCAATTCTAACCCTTTCGAAACCTGAGCCTACCAGTTGCACAGGCGCAGATCTTACGTTGGCTTCTTTGTGGGAGGCCTTTGGCGGAAAACGCAGAGCATTCTGGGAACGCCAAAAGCGGAAATTACCTCGTCACACGCTCGGCTTGCTGCTGGTTGCTGCGCGCTTTTCTGTCTGCAATTTCAAGAGTTAGGAGTTCGGGAATCGTTTGCAAATATGTATGACGCAGACGAAGGTAGGTAACCTTTTAGAACCCTTCGCGGCGACCCATCTAAGGAGGGAAATGTGGGGAGCTGGACGAATGGTAGATTTGTGGCCTTCCCTAAGCTCGTCGCACAAGTGTCCCCAGTCATGTTCCCCACATATCTCAGAGCAGGAACAAAGCCGGGATTTCGAGAGGTGGAAGGTGCAGGCAACGTAGCGTTAGTGTTCTAGGCAAGGGTGACACTTGTTCTCTCCACTGCCTGCCCCTGGATAAATCATACCGCCTTCTCGTACTGAATGAAATAGCGTGCAGAGCCACTAAGATAAATTCCGTTGTGTCGACTTTGAAGGCTACTTTATTCATTTCCCTTAAGGCCAGAGTTAATGGATTTATTGACTAGTTGAATTTTTGAGCGTCATCTTGTGTCAGGCATTGTGCTAGGCCCTGGAAATAAACCCGGGGACAAAGGGTGCGTGTATGTGTAGGAGGGTAGCGGGGGGTGGGGAAGGGTGGTGGTGGTGGTGTTGATTTAGTTGGGCATTACTTAATGCTGTTATATGTCTAAGTACATTGTCTTAAAAGATGACTTTTAAATTTCCTTTTTCCAAAAAAATGATAGTTCTCAGGTGGTATGTGGTATTCTACTGAACAAGGGCAATATGTCTTTTCTTTTTCTTTTTCATGTAGAATTAATCATGTCTAGTGTGTTTTCATTGCCCAAAAAAATGACAGTTCTCAGGTGGTATGTGGTATTCTACTGAACCAAGGGCAATATGTCTTTTCTTTTTCTTTTCCCATGTAGAATTAATCATGTCTAGTGTGTTTTCATTGTGTATTTTTAAAGTTCTTTCTTCCATTCTCTACAGCTACTGTTTCAGACTTCATTTTCTTCTAGTTCTCAATCCCATAGCCACATTTCTTATTCCCTCAGCTACTTCATGGAGAAAATAGAAAAATAAAAGCTTAAGCTCTGCTGTTTAAACTTCTCTTTCATGTCTTGAGTCTAGAAATTTATTAGCATCACTACATTCTCTTTTCTTAATTTCTATTTCAGTGGAAAATTTAAAAAAATGCCTTTTGAACTTAGTTTTTTGAATAGGAAATGTATTTTCATCTTTCACAAGCCAGAAAATGTAAAAATGTTAGTGTCAGGTTTTTTCTTGTTTACCATCTCCCAGTGTGAACCCCCTCTGCAGTAAGTAACCACTGTTCTTAGATTATCACTCTGTAGAGCTCTATGCGTATTCAAGCAAATAAATGGGATTCTGTTTCCCCCTTTACAAGAACATTTACACTTTTCTGCACTTGTTTTTGACTTTACATAAATCTAGGAGATTTTCATATCAATACATAGAGAATGTCTTTTTTTCACAGCTACTTGGTTTGAATGGATATAACTTTAGTGTCTTATTGATGGACATTTGAGTTATTTCCATTTTTTTCTTGGTTCAAACAGTGCTAGAATGAATAATCTCATTTTGTCAGTTTGTCCAATAGACGTATACCTGTAAGATAATTTCTAAATGTAGAAATGTCAGGTCAAGTGATGTACACGGTTAACATTTTCTAGACGGTGCCAAATGACCACCATAGTGATTGTTCTAACTTACCTTATCATTAGCAGTGTAAATAATTCTGTGGAAAAAAGAGTTATAAGTCATCTTGTTTATCAAGTCTGCTTCTGCACTGAGTCTACTTTCCATTTCTGTGTCCTTTGTATCTTTATTAGATATGCCCTCATTAGTTTTTAGACACTCCTTTTCAGTGCCTTCTTCCTATGTGAATTATTAGATCTCATTTGCAAGAAAATAAGTTAAACTCTTTATTGTTTCCTTTGTCTTCCAATCTTTTGCCTTTTCCTTCTATTCACAACAAGCTTCTAAAGAGAATAGGCTGTTCTTGATTCCAATTTCCATCTTTCAGGTTCTCAACCCACTGCAGTCTAATTCTGCTCATGCCACTACATTAAAATAGCTTTTAATATGAATATCAGTGACTTCTTAATTAATAAATAAGGTGGACATTTTAAAACTTTATCCAGACCCAGTGGTGTTCAACATTGTTGATGAGTTCTTGGAAACTCACTCCTTCCTTTTGCCTCATCGCTCTCACTTCATTCTTCTTACCTGCGTGACTTTCCTTCTTATCCTTTTCCACTGTTCACATTCTCCTTGGATGACATCATCCATTATCCATGGCTTCATTTACCATCTATATTTGGATGACTTTTGAAAACATATTTCCAGTCCAGATTTTTTGCATGTCTAACTACCACTAGATAGTTTGACATGAATGTGTCCCAGGCCCTTCAAAGTTGTCACTGCCCAAATTGAGCATTTCCCCATTCCCTTCCCAAACTGCTCCCGCCTGTGTTCTCCATCTCCTCTGTTGTTAAAATTAGAATCCTGGGCATGATTTTTGATTCTTTTCCTTTATCCCTGTATCTAATGAGTCACCAAGACTTGGAAGTTCTTCTAAGTATGTCAGATCTAGTCACTTCTTTGTACCCTCTGCCACAATTCTAATTCAGGCCACCACCATCTCCTGCCAAGATTATTTTCTCAGACTCCTAATTTGTGTGCTTCCAGTTTTCTTGCTTCTCCAGTCCACTCTCCACACTGGCCATAGTGATCTTTCAGAAATAAAAATCTGATCTAGTCACAGCCTTGCTGAAATCTGAGACTGGTTCCTCAAAGCTCTCTCAGTAAAGACCAAGCAAGCTCTTTTACTACTTCTAGCTGTTTACTGTTTCAGCTACATTGGCCGCCTTTCACTTCTTTTTTTTTTTTAAATCGCCTACAGCACCTGGTCTTACTAGGTGGTCTCCCATCCAACTACTAACCAGGCCCAACCCAGCTTAGCTTCCGAGATCAGACGAGATTGGGCGTGTTCAGGGTGGCATGGCTGTAGATGCCTTTCACTTCTTGAATATCTTCCATTGTGGAGTCTTTTGCACACATTTTTTTTTTCTGTTTGGAATACTTCTCTACACCATCCCCTGCAACCCCCCCCCCCGCCCTTTGCCCTCTCCTTTTGTCTGGTTTACTCCTATTATTCATACATGATGTCTCTGCTTAGGTCAGCTTTTGGGAGGTCAGCTTTTGAGGATGCAGCTATCTTTTATCTTGTTGAAGGTGGTGTCTCCAATGGCTGGGACATAGTAAACACCTTCAATAAATATTTGAAAATAGATGAATGAATAAATGAATAACGACCTTCATGGGTTTATTTTCTTTCACATGATTTTAACAGGGATGTTCTTTAATATCTTGCCTTCAGTTTTCCTTCTTTATGTAAACGTTCCATATTCTTCCAACCACATGTGTATGATTCTCAACTCTTTGCAAATTAGACCTCTTATTTGAGTTACATGTTTATATCTAGTTGCATACTATAAGTATTTAAAAGGATAAATGTTCTGCAAGTATACCTAAAACTGATGTCATCGTTTTCTTTCCTTTTCCCACCTTCTTACATGCTTTTCCTGTATGGCTGTGATACTGATCTATAATCTGTCATCAAAGCTAGAAATCTCTGAGCTATTTTAGATACCATTGTCTTCCTCACCCCTCCCTTCATATATAGGGATCAGTAATTCCGGTTTATTCAAGAAGCATTTATTAAATAATTTATTTTGGATATGTATCAGGTTTTGAATTCAAAGCTCTTAAGTTTTACAGATTATATATTTAGGTCAGAATATAAAAACAAATATAGCACACTTATTCTTTTACATAAGAAGGTGAGACTAATAGAGGATTAGTGCACACTGGTTTTTCAGATTCCCCATTGTTCAAGTTACTATTGTTGCATAATTGCCACTAAATGGGGCTGCTTAAAAATTAATATTCATAGATTTAAGTGGTCAGGAATTTGGCAGAGCATAGTAGGAATGACTTATCTGCTCCATTATGTCAGTAGTTCAACTGGGAAGACTCAAAGGTTGAGAGTTGACACCTGGGGGCTGGATGATCCAGCATGTTTACTCACATGTCTGGTACCTAGCTTGGAAGTACTCAAGGACGAGGATTGCTGACCAGAACATCTTTAAGCCTCTACCCAGTGGGCTTCCTCACAGTATACCAGTCTTAGAGTATTAGGACTTCTTAATGATAATTGAGGGCTCCAGAAGCAACTGTTTCAGCAAATAAGACGGCACAACATTGTCTTTCCTGACCTAGCTTCTAAGGTCATGTAATGTCTCTTTAGCTGCATTCTCTTACTTACAGGAGAGTCAAAAACCTACCCAG